TACACATGTGAGTATATGTGTGTTGTAGGTGCACATGTGTGTGGTGTATGTATGTGTATTGGAGGTACACATGTATGTGGTATGTGTATGTGTGTTGTAGGTGCACATTTGTGCATTTGTCCTTGTTTGTGTGGAGGTGTAGCATGAATTCTAATTGGTCTTAATAAATAAAACCCAGAGTCAGATACTAGGGGGTGAAAGCTGAAGGATCAGGGAAGCAATGGGGTTAGCCACTAGAGAGACCCTTAACCTCTACCGACGTCCAGACGGAAGGGACGATCCTCAGACCGCGCTGAGCTCCTGTCTCCTTCCGCCTTATATTCCTCTCTCCGTCCAGTCATGTCACTCCTGTCTCCACCTCCCTAGTGCTGGGATTAAAGGCCTGTGATTCCCAAGTGCTGGGATCACCTTTTGTGAGCTCTGTTTCTCTTTTAGACAGATTCAATCTCGTGTAGCCCAGTGTGACCTTGAACTAACAGGGATCCCTCTGCCTCTGTCTCCTGACTCTGGGATTAAAGTGTGTACCACCACTCTCTGGCCTCTAGTGGCTTTTCTCTACACTCTGATCTTCAGGCAAGTTTTATTTGTTAAAACACTAACAAAATACCACTCCATGGAGGCTAGAGGAGGATGTCAGGCATCCTGTCCCTCTCTGCCTTGTTCCATTGAGACAGGGTCTTTTACTGAACCTGGAGCTAGGCTAGTGGCCACCAAGCCCCAGGGAGCTGTCTCCACAACCCAGGTTATTCTGAGGACGTTCTGAAGTATGTACAGAGAGAGGAACAATGAACCATTCATCCACAGTTAGAATGACAGCTGTCATTATCTTGTTTGTCTCTTCTATGCCATTTTCACCTTAGCTCTGTTGCAATTTCAGCCCAATCCCCATTTTGTTTTATCCATAATTCTAATCTGCATGTTTAATAGATAAGAACTTGTATGTGTGTATGTTTGTCTGTGTATGTATATGTGCCTGTGCGTCAGCCTTGAGTGTTGGTACTCAGGAGCTCCCACCCTGTTTTTAAGGCAGGGTAACTTCCTGAGACTTGAGGTTTGCTGATAGGGTAGGCTGTCCAGCCAGTAATGTCTCTGTACCCCGGTACTGGGATTGCAAGCAACCATACCCTGCTTTTTACATGTATGCTACAAGTGGAACCCAGAGCCTCATGCCTGCTGAGCCAGCCCTCAGCCCTCAAGAACTTTTTAACATAGCTATTCCATCAGTATCATAATGTAAAAAGATTACCTGGCAGACCCTGAGGAGTCACTTGTGAAAACTGAAGACTAAGAAGGGATCTTATGTTGGACTGGCCTTACAAGTCACTGTGGAAGGTTAGCCTAGATAAACAGCATGTCTCTACCTCAAACCTTATCAAAAGTAAATCTCATGTGGATTAAAAGAGTTAACAGGAATCCTTCAGTCATGAGGTCTCGGCTTCAGTCATCTGCACATAAAGGCTGTGTGCAGTGGCCACGGGTGGTGATGAGTGTTTGTAATCTCAGTGCAAGAGGTGGGCACAGGAAGGTCCTGGGATTCGCTGGCAGCCACTCCATCCTAATCTGTGAGGCCCAGGGAGAGAGAGAGAGAGACCCTGCTTCAGAAACAAAGGTAGAGGACTTCTGAGGAACAGTCACCAAGGTTAACCCTAACTTCTATGCAGTGTGTACCTGTGTGTGAATACACACACACACACACACACACACACACACACATACACACACACTGTTCTTTATTTAAAATACTTTAAAATTTTTTTCTTGGGGCTGGAGAAATGGCTCAGCAGTTAAGAGCATTGCCTGCTCTTCCAAAGGTCCAATTCCCAGCAATCACATGGTGGCTCACAACCATCTGAAATGAGATCTGATGGCCTCTTCTGGCCTGCAGGCAGACACACAGACAGAATATTGTATAAATAAATATTTCCCCTCCCCTCTGGATATACTCCCTTTCTGTCTTTCATTAGAAAAGAACAGGTGTTGTGTGGTGGTGGCGCACGCCTTTAATCCCAGCATTCGGGGGGCAGAGGCCAGAGGAGCTCTGTGAGTTCAAGACCAGCCTGACCTACAGAGTGAGTTTTAGGATAGGCTCCAAAGTTACAGAAAAATCCTGTCTCAAAAAAACAAAAAAAGAAAAGAAAAGAACAGGCTTCTAAGAGATGACAACCAAACATGACAAAAGAAAGTGTAATAAAGTAAAGAGAAAACTATCATATTGAAGTTGGACACAGCAACCCAATAGAGGAAAAGGGTCCCAAGAGCAGAAGGGTCGGAGACCCGCTTGTTCTCAAAGTCGGGAGTCCCATAAAATTACTAAGCTAATGGCTATCATCTACTCAGAGGACCCATTACAGACGCCTGTGCTTGCTGCTTCGGTCTCCGAGAGCTCACGTGAGCCATGGTAGGTCGATTCAGAGGGCCCTGTTCTCTTGTTCTCTATCCCCTCTGGCTCTTACCATCTTTCTTCTTCCTCCTCTTCCTCAGGCTTCCCTGATCTCTGAGGGATTTTATGGAAACCTCCAGTTTAGTCTCTCTCCATATAATGTCTGGCTGTGGGTTTCTGCATCTGTTCCCACCTACAGAGAGGAAATATCTCTGATGATTACTAGACAAGACTTTGATCTATGAGTAGAGCAGAATATCATTAGGAATCATTTTGTTGACATTATTATTATTATATCAGTGGTATTTGGTCTTGCCCTAGGTCTCTGGACTATCTAGTCTCTGGTTCATGGTTACCCAAGCAGTGTCAGGTATGAGCTCCTTCTCTGTGGAGTTGGCCTTAGATCAGATCAGACATTGTTGGCCACTCCCACAAGTTCTTTTCCACCATTGCCCTAGCCTATTTTACAGGCAGGATAGATTGTAGGCCAAAGATTTAGTGGCTGGGTTGGTGTCCTGCAAAGTAGCCTTTCTGTACCAAAAAGACTATATTCTAGTCTTTTTAGGAATATAATAGGAGCCCTATATAGGAATGAGGGCTCCATGTAGGAACCAGTTCAACTTGTCCATGTTCAATGAGTTGTGTGGGCATTGTCCTTGGCAAAGGGGCGGGGGGTGCTGTCAGTTTGTGGAGAGCAACCCTTTTTCTTAGCAACAGCCTGAGTTTTGGCAGGGGGAGTTTCCATGGGATCCCCTTGGAATCAACTTCCCTGAGTTATTGGAAGCTGCCAACAACTCAGCTGGATGTAACCTAGTCCCACCAGTGGAAAGCTCACCTGGCTTCAAGAGATGACCAGTAGAGACTCCGTATCCCCCGTTACTGGAGGTCTTCCTTGGGATCATCTTCATAGAGTCTAGGGCATTTCAGTTGCACTAGGGGAAACCAAATTTTCTTTTACAAGTGTTTATCAGTTGGAGATTGTTTCTGGGTTAGGGATGGGGGGGGGCATGTATCTTCCTTCCTTCCAGCTCCAGGACCCTGTGTATGCTACCTCAGTCTCTCTGAGTTCATATGTAGAGAGATCTTGTTGATTTAGGGGGCCTTATTTTCTTAGTGTCCCGCATCCCCTCTGACTCTTGTACTCGTCCACCTCCTCTTCCTCAGGGTTCCCTGAGCCCCGAGGAGAGGGTTTTGATGAAGACATCCCAGTTAGGACTGAGTACTCTAAGGTCTCTCACTCTCTGCATAAAGTCTGGCTGAGTTTGTTCCCAACTGCTGTGGGGCGGGGAGGAGGGGGAAGAGTCTCTGTTGATGGCTGAGCAAAGCACTCATCATATGTCTTTCTGTGTCTTAGGTTACCTCACTCAGGATGATTTTTTTTTTAGTTACACCCATTTACCTGTGAATTTCATTTTTTTTTACCAGCTGAGTAATAACTCCATTATATAAATGTATCACCTTTTCTTTATCCATTCATATATTGAAGGACATTTAGGTTGTTTCCAAATTCTGGCTAGTTCTGTGCTGATCTAAAGAAAGAAAAGAGCTATTATGTGTTTGATCACATAGGGGTTTAGGCTGCCAGCCTAGACTGGTGGCCTGAGTTCAGTCCCTGGGACCCTGGTGGAAAGAGAGGGTCAACTTCCAAAAGTTAGCCCCTCGCTCCACATAGCCACACACACGCGCGTGTGTGTGCACATACACATATACACACAGATAAATGCAAGAAATATTTTTAAAATAAGAATCTTCAAATGTTAACTGTGAAGTGAGAAATTCCTTGACTCAGTTCTGCTCTTTTCCATTCCCTGGAGAGCCAGCTTTGCTTTGTTACTGTTTCTGTTTACTTTCTTTGGTGACTTTAGCTATATGACTAACAAGCTTTTGTTACTATTTCTTTTTCCATTTTAATTTTTTTCCGAGATAGGGTTTCTCTGTAGATAGGCCTCAAACTCACTGAGATCTGCCTGCCTCATGCATTTCTGGTGGCCACAAAAGTTTAAGGAGGAGTCAGATCCC